TTCGCCATTTCTCGTTGAGGCAGCAACTCGGTGTGATTTTAACTGCTATACGGCGTGCAATCTCTTTGCCAGAAATACTGATCTTACACCGACAACATGCTTTATACTACTCAGACACTCCCCCATTACGTCTACCTGCATATCTGCGCATGTGCTACCGTACATCACCTTACTTAATCTCCTGATTGGTCTTTCTGTCCGCTCTGCCTCTTCGTTCAGCTGATATGCTTATTTTTCGACTTCGTCCTTAATTTTTGCACACCAGTGTATAGCTCAGACCTCTGTTCAGAGGCTCAACTAGAATTATGAAATACATAACAGAGGGGAGCAATTTTAAGAAAAAAACGCGAATAATTATTTCAATTGGTGGTAACTCTGAAAATAACGTAAATTTTTCAAAAATTTTAGTTGAGCCTCTGTAGAGAGGTCTGAGCTATATACAGGCAAAATATTATTATAATAGAACCATTTTTCACAAAAGGAGAACATTTGCAAAAAAGATTATTCTTGCCAAAATATTATATTTAAATAATTTTTTTTGTCAAAATATCCTTAAAATAATTTTATGCGTGTATTCTAATCTGAGTGACACTAAATATGAAAATTATCCATTTATGTGTTTTTTTAAAATCACGGTTCCGAACGTAGTCGGATACCTTAAAAAGGAATGCTATGAATTCACACACACATTTTCGAAGTAATGAGTCGCAAACATCAAGAGAGAACAGTCTACTTATAGATAACGATATACTAAATTCTGATTAAAAATTCACTATTGCCAACGAAATATATAAATTGAAAAGCATGTTCTGGCAAATTACAAAATATTTGCGATCAGTTATTTCAAAATCTGCCATTTTTCGCATAAATACGTCACTGAAATTACAAATTTTTGAATATCTTCGACTGAACTACATTTTCGTAAATATAACTTGTGCTTTAATTACATGTTTAAAGATACCTCCTCAAAAATAAATGCCAATAATGACGACAATTTTGAATTTCTTCGTATCATGACAGTCAGATAAAAATAAGTTTTATTTTCCAGAAAACTAATTCAATTATTTTTATCATTATCTATACTAACTTTTGAAATTAACTTTAATTCCTTTACTATCCATGTTCGGATATTTCAATGGTGTACAAATACATATTTTGTAGAGTTACACTCAGTTAGAGGAAACATATATTCAATAGAAGTCCTGAGAAGTTGGTACCTCTCTCCCATACATAACCCGGTTTGAGTTTTAAAACAGTTCTAATCACCAAGAGATCCTTGGTGTTAAATATTTTCTTTTCTACAATGGATATGAATTTTATTGTGTGACACGACTACGTCTTGGCATCAAACAAAACAAAGGTAAACAGATATTTTAACAATTTCCTTACTCAAGGAAAAATAAAACTAATTGTATAAAAATAGCTCTCAGAATTTAAAACACATTTGATAGTTTTGCGTAATTGATAGATAACAATGATATGGAGCATTTTTGCACAGTAAGATCCAGTCACGGTATTTGTAATGAATTAAAGCGGTAAAAAAAGTATGTGTAAAGAAATGAGGCTGCTTTCTAGGAATTTCGTTTAAATACAAATTTTAAAATGGGCATTATATATATAATTTCAAAAACTCGTGTCAATTTATCTCATGTAAAATTCTTATCAAATACTCGCTTTCCACAATTGGAAAGTCTGAAGACTAAAAGTAAGTATACAATCTAAATTTAGAGTTTTAATTTAGTTTTTGAACAAATTAAGTTAAAAGTTTGTCAAGGGAGTCCTCAAAAGAAGGATGCATTACTGAAATTTCACAGAACGAATCTGCTTTGGGTGGGAGAAAAACCACTCCCTGGAGGCAGCTAATACATTCGAGTGATTAAAGGCAGATAATATTGCTTAAATAGATTTTTCACCAGGGGCGTAGCTACCGCCGTATCAATGATACGGGACCCCAAGCTTCAGGGGTCTCAACACGTGTAAGGTATTAAGGGGCCCAAAAGAAGGCCCCCAAAGAATGTTCGATACAGGGCCCACTGAGAACTAGCTGCGCCAGTGAATTTCACTCAAGTTCCATTCATTGCTATAATTAATCTCTTCTAAATTGCATTATATTCTAAAAAAAAATGAAGCGGTTCTGAGAACTGTCGCCGATTAAATTTAAACCTCACACACAAAGAATTGTGTTTAAACTTTTCAGAAAATATATATATATATATATATATATATATATATATATATATATATATATATATATATATATATATATATATATATAAACGTTTGCACTTTTGATTTTTCTTTCCAAAAAAAAAGAATATACTCTATGTCAGGCTTTAATTCATTTTATGCTAAATATATTTTGATTATGATTTTAACATATGTACATGGGCGAGCTAAAAATAATTTAATTATTGAAAATTAATTGTTTTATATATATATATATATATATATATATATATATATAACTGCAATAAATAATTTCATTTTCAAATACTTATGAAAAATTGGATAAGTTTGAGAGCTTAATGGATATTCCTTCAAAAAATGTATTAATCAATCAATAATTAAATAAATTTTTACCTCATTGTTCTTGTGGCATTCCATCCATTTTAAATACGGCAGGTTATTTTGGAGAAAACAGACATTATACCCAAACTATTTCGCAGTTTCAGGGCTATCGATCCGATGTATTTCTCCATTTTAAATACAGAAAGTTATTTAGCGATAACTGTTACTACAGAGATAGTGCAATCTCAGTGAGAGTGTTTCTTGTAGACCGATATAGAACATGAATTCACAACATTCCATAGAATAAATATTTAGGACAAACAATCGGGAAAATTTTAATGAGAAATACTAATAACAAGCACTTTTAGTCACAAGATGCTGCAATTGACTAGCGAATAAGCTCAATTAATATCAGATGCGATGAAAATGATTCGTTTTTCTCCAATATTTCAGCGGAATCGAGTAAAAATTAAAAAGAAATAGAGAGAGAGCAACCGTTACAAAATGAAGTAAAAAAATTTCTTGTTGTTGTTACTGATGCCACGTGATCAGCAAAGGCCAGATCGAGGCCCACGAAATTCATCATGGCAAAGGGCTAAGTGACACCTGTCGTTAGCCGTAGCTTTGAGCACCATGCAGATGACAGTACGATTTGGCACGTTTCCACGCCAATTTTGATGGAGGACACCTGGGGGGCTCCCACCTATCTTCCCCTTCCCCCAACCACACGAGAGGACTTGCGGCTCGACGGCTATTTATAGTACTCCCATGCCGCGAAGGCACTATACGTTTAAAAACATCCATCTCTTCTCCGGGATTCAAACCCAGACCCTACGACACAGCAGTCAGCGTCGCTAACCACTATACCGGATGGGCGACTAAAAAAATTTGCTCCTCTCATATATAAATTGGCTTAGATTGTATATTGCACACGGCTCAGTAGTATAACTTTAATTTAAAAGCATTATTATGAGCTCTCTCTTTCCCTGATATTGCATAAACAGAAATGAATTAAAAAAAACATAAGACGGTAGTTGGAGGGACCCGAACCCATACGGGGATAGGCCCTCAGACGTTTAAAGAGGTTTTTCGTCTGTCGCCTTGACCACTCGGCTTGACCATGGTTCAAAATTACGTGGTCCGTCGACAAAAGCCCTCGAGTAGCTGAACAGTGCGACGTTAATATTCACTCACTCACTCACTGGACCACTCGGCCACAACTACTGTTACAACAACGACGAAACAAAAATTAAAAAATTAAGTAAAAATTCTTTGAAATCAATTGATTTCAATTACTCAACAAAATATTTGTTAACATACCTTTCAACGGAAAGTCATCTTATTGATTGAACCAGTGAAAAAAATTACTACAAAATGAAATTAAAAAATTGGTAGAGTTGATGGGATTTGAACCTACCGGGGATAAACCCCCAGACGGTGAGAGGGGTAGTTAAAAGTTAGTTATAAAAATGTATTTTGTCATGAGTTGATTTATAATGCAAATTAAGCATAGTTCAGAGATCATTTCTTATCTTCCAAAAATGTGTGTGTGTACACAAACTATAAATATATATATGTATCTTCTTTTTAAAAAATTTTACATTTTTTTCATACCTTCTAAAAAAGTATCAACTAATATTAAAGTAGGGTAGGTCATCAATTGGAGTTTTTCTATCAATTGTAGGTCATCAATTTGAGTTTTTCTATCATTCTTTCTATATGTATTTATTTGTGTGTGTTTGTATGTTTTCTTTCCTTTTTTTCATTGAAAATAATACGGAATTTTCGAAGATGAATAATTAACACAATTTTGCGATTGGTACTTTATAAATTTTACTCCATTTGCCATGCAAATCATTTCAGGTATCACTTTTACCAAATGATGGAGACTCAAAATAAAATGCATATAAAAAAAAACTTACAACGGTAGTTTCTGGGATTCGAACCCACCCCAAGCTGTTAGTAAGGAATCCTGACTGTCGCCTTGACCACTCAGCCACAACTACCGAACAGTCAGTTCACAAACAATGTTTAAGAAAAAATATATATTTTGTCACGAACTGATTTATTACGTTAATTAAGTATTGTTCGGAGGAAATATATATTTTTCTTTGATTCGAACAAGAAAAAATATATAATAATGTACCAAATACGTTTTTTTTTCTCCTTAAAAATTTTACATTTTCTATCTTCTAAAAAAAGTTTCAACTAATAATCAAGTCCACCTTCTGTAGGGGGCGTAATCAATTTCAGTCCCCCTCCCCTTCTTATCCTTTTTGTGTTTCCTTTCCTTTTTTCCCCCTTGAAAATAGTGCGGAAGTTTCGAAGATGAAAATCACACAAACTGGGATTGGTGCTTAATAAATTGTACATTTGTGTACGCGCACCATGAAAATACTTTCAGGTAACACCCCCACCCAACGAAAGATCGAGACACAAAATTAAATGAAACTGCAGATAAAAAAATGCATTCATTAAAAAAAAAAAAAGTTGGTAGTTGGTGGGATTCGAACCCACGCGGGGATTAATCACCCCCAGACGGTGAGAGGGGTCTTCTCGTCTGGCGCCTTGACCACTCGGCCACAACTACCGAGAGTTAAACGGCGAAACAAAAATTAAGAATTGAAATAAAAATTCTTTGAGATCAATTGACTTTAATTACTAAGCAAAATTATTTTACAAACATTTCAACGGAAGATCAACTCACTGATTAAACTAGTGAAAAAAATTAATACAACATCTAAGTATAAATTTATTTTTTCCGATTAAATATATATATTTTCTTGTGTGTGTTATGTACCGTCCTCAAAACCGTACAAATAACAAGTCTGCTATTGTTATAAAGATTATTTAAAAAAAAAAAAAAAACACGAATCAAAATAAACACACTAAGAATTTTAGTGAATGTTTGTAGCCATTTAAGAGAAAACTTTTAAGCATCTGGAAAAAATATTGCTCAAAGTACAAATAATTATTAATAGAAAACAGTTCTCGAACAAGCAGAATTTTGCACACGGGCAGTAAGTCGACTCTTGTTCGACAAAGTGTGAAAAATAACAATTGAAATGAATTACGAAGTTGTAATTCTTAAATAATCTCACAAAACTAGGAAATTCCTTTCCTTCTTCCCGAATGTTTGTAAATTCTCAACATTAAGACTATGAGGGTAAAACAGAAGATTAATTAAAACATTTCCCCCCAGAAGAGAAAGTCTCTAGAAGCGGACAAAGGAAATGAAACAAAACATCAGTTACTTAGGAAACATTTACATAAATCTGCAGTTTAACCGAATGGGAAGAATTTGAGCAAAAATAACTTTATTCAGATTAGGAAAATATTATTTTAGAGGATAGAGAGAGAAAAAAATATATTTATAAAGCAAGATTCTCTAAGAATATATTTGTACAATATGTATATATAAGAGGTATGCATAGGAGGGCCTAAGATCCTGAGGCCAAGCTAGACAAGCCTAAATGACAAGATAGCACGAACCCCTGCCAAGTGACAACTCCAGTTAGGTTGAGATAAATGAAACTGTTAGCCCTGGATCTCGCTCTTGGGTTAAAGACATACGCTAGCGAAGAGAATAAATGAGAAAGGGGGTAATAAATTTTTGAAAGAGCACGCTTTTCTCACTCCTCCATTCATTTCTCTTTAATTTGATGAAGTGACTAAGTTAAAGAGCGTCTTTATTATAGCGTTATGACAAGCAATATGTTCTGATTGTACTTTATTATGAAGGGGGATATAATTGTATTCTTCGCTGTACAAATATAAAAATTATTTCTTCACTATCATGAACTGCAAAAGAAAAATATTCGTACACTCAAAATCACCGATTTGGGAGCAGAATGGGGTTTGGGTGATTTAGCACTCACAAGTTGTACTCTAAAGCAGGGTCCAACTGGGCCCGAACCCAGGGCCTCACCATAGGTGTGGGGGGGCTTGCTTCGTTTTCGATTCAAGTCTTAATAAGATCACGATCCGCATAATTTTATCAATGTTATTGATTCCGTACATATATATATTCTCTGAAAAACAAAGAATTTCAAACTGCATCTTAACTGGCAAAAGTGATAATTATGTTATGACCGTTGTCCATGTCTACACTTACATAATCAATCAACTCTTTTAGTCTAAATGCGGCCATCAATCGAGCCGATTTGTGCCAAGGTTTGTGAGATTGTGAGTCGTGCACATTTGTTTCAAATTGCCGTTTGAACGAGTATTTGACAATGACTGTCTACTTTTAAAGATCACACTTTTGCATAGGGACCCAGGGCCTCATCTTACTACTGAGAGACGGTGAGACTCATTCTATAAGATCGCAAAAAATGCACTTGAAAAACTAAGTGCTTTATATAGAATTATAATCGATTAAAAAGTATGTAGAATGGATTTGCATGAGACTTTTGCAATTTTCGATTTCATTTCTTAAATCTTAACCAACCATATCACGTTAAATTTAATGAATTCAAGATCTATCAGCGTTTATCATTATGCTAATTTAATTGCTAAAATATGAGATATCGAATATAGAGCAGTGGTATACACGTGGAGTTTTGGGGGTTCGATTCCTCCCCCAGACCAAAAATTTTAATTTTTCACCATAGAGATTACATCACGGCGCTTCCGTCATCGTGTTATTCAGAATGTACCCCCATAAGAGACGTCTGTGTGTATCACTAATACTGAAAAAACTGCAGAAAATGCGCAAATAATTCCTGTAATTTATCTTCTAAGTAAAATTAAAAATACAGTTTCGAAAGACTTCTTTTCAAAGCTGTCCACTTGAAATAAAATTTGATACTAACAATCCCTAAATAATGAACAAGCAACAAGAAAACACTTTAGATAAACTCATATTTCGCAAAAGCAGCCTCAAAGAAATTCCTTAATTCTAGAAGTTTCCAAATAAAATCATTCCAAATCAATAGATGAAAAGGATTTCAAAATAAAATATAAAAGAGACAGTCCTTGTTCTTCTCTTTTGAAACAGCCGTCTCATATTTTCCATTTCTTCCGTCTTAGACACACTCATTAAAGGCCTTCAGACATCAGATGATTAGAGGTCCTTCAGAAACAGAACACGGGCGATTACTTTGAAAAGCCCTAAATGATTCCTGATCAATTTAGCAAAAATGAAGGGATTATTTAACAAGCTTGTTTCGCAAGCCATCTAAAAGATCGATTAGGGTTTTTTTTTTATTCATGTCGCACTTTAAAGCAAAGCGAGAGCTAGTGCAGACGGACCGAGTAATTTTAAATCTCAGTCAAAAAACTAGGATGACATCAGAGCTGCACCCCACTCAGCAAACTTCTCAATCACGCCAATGTGAGGACTTTGAGCCACAACAGATTTAACATGCACCAACACCATTACATGGCGGGTCTTCAGTGGCATCAAGACTCGAATTCGTGACAAGCTGTAACCATGCCACTCTGCTACTGTGGCCACCAAGACACAAGACAAAGCTTCTTAGTTTAGCGTTATTTGAGGAAGTAATTAAATACACACTCTTTTAAATTTTTTCAACACTCATGAAAACTACTATGAATTCCTATCGTTTGAGAAGGGGGAAAAAGAGGGTGACGTGACTCTATTGGGAGAAAACGCATAGAAATGCAAAAGAGCACGTGGGCCTTAACTGCCATTACAAAAATACAAGAACTGAGAGACGAAAGAAAAGGTAATTCCTGAAATAAATCAAATGGATTGGTTAGAATTTCTTAAAAAAATATCGTGGGGGGGTCTCTCTCTCTCTTGAAAGCGATCCTTCCTACATAGTATAAAAATAGCTCCATATTTGTGGTCGAAGGCAATAGAAGATCTTAAGAAATTTTAGATGTCCAGTAAAAATGTATTTCAAGCTAGTGAATTTTTTTTTTTTTTATTTGGTTTATGTATTCGAAGAAACATACTTTTTTACTACCATTAAATTTTAAAAATAAAATAAAGAACAATTCTCTCTCCTTTCTGAATCTCGTATTATTTAACAGAAATAATAATAATAAAAAAAGTGTATTAAGCAATACTACGGTTGTTATGAACGGCAACACATGATAGTCCTAAATTTCAAAAAAGAAAATTTAGAAAAGTACGAAATCGCAGGCATTTTCCGTTATCAACTTATCTTAAAAATTTCATTCTTTAAGTACTTATTTAAAGAAAAAATAATTTTTAAAATATAATCCCGATAATTGACTAGAAAGAGGTGAATAATTTTGACAAAAAATAATGTATGAAATCAGGAAATGAATATGAAATCACTGTAAAAAAATTAAACATATAAAAAAACATGGAAATACTTAACTCTAAATGAGACATTAAAAAAATTATTCAAATTAAATCTTTAAATTAAACACAAAATCAGAAACAAAAAACCAGATAAAGCGCAGGTAACTGATAACGCAAAACTTGATAGTCCTAAATTCATACGGTTAATCTATTTGTTGGAGAAAACAGACCTACAGACTTAAAATTTGGCAGGTATGCTTCTTTCGTTGAATAGAAATATACTAAAAACATGTTTTTCGGAAAACGTCACCTAAGGTGGCTTTCGGTGGAGGGGAGATAAAAAAATTTCTTAAAAACTTAAATTATTTATATATTTTGGTGAAGTTTATAGATAAGAAGATTCAAGGAGATGGAAAAAATTAAACAGCTACAAAAAAAAACATCTTTTAGTGTAACTGTTTTCTTATAGAGGGCGACACGAGATGACAGTAAAATATATTTATATCCTGTATAATGCCTGCTATGTTACAAACTTGCAGCTTGCTGCAATACAACATCAAAAGTATGAAAGCATCAATGACGGCGTGTAATCAATATATACAGGGAAAAAACAAGATAATTTATTAAATAGTTCATCCTATTAGTAAGGTTTAAAAAAGATATTTCTTTACTATATTTGATATTTTAAATGCATTTACAACGGAAATGTAAAGAGACAAATGGTGAAAGAATACGGCAATTCTAGATAACTGAAAAACAAAATTAATTATTTGATGTCATTCAAATATGCAAAGCTTATAACTGATCAATAAAGGTAGTATTTTTAAATACTGCGCAGCGCCATCTATAGGAAATACTGTTAATGATTTGTAACACTTCATTTTTTTTGTGTGCGTGTGAAAGACAGGTGCACGAATGAACTTATGGAGTTCATATGAATTTAAGAGAAAAATTATTTATTGCTTTTCATCACGTAAAATTTAATATTAAAAATTCCAAATAGCTTAATTTATTAGTTGTAGAATTTTGTTGATGATACAAAATCCTTCCCTTCCCTAAAATAAAGAAATTCACTGCGCTTGATAATACCTGATTAGAAAGCAATTATAAACACACACACAAAAGTTGCATTATACTAACTCAGAAAACGGTTATAATTTTTTTAGACAAGAATATCATTATTATAAAAATAGTAAAAAAGTTTCTAAAAAGTCGAAGTCTTTTTATAAAAAATAGTATTTCTAAAACATAGTCGAACAAATACTAAATACCTAATGCACAATTCTCTTTCCAATTTTCATTTCTTTAGAAAACAACTAACTGCAACGGTATCTAGCAGAAAAATTTCCCAT